ATGTAATCCCAGGGCAAACTGGCTGCAAACCCCAGACTCTTCCCACCCCAGATTTCCTCCAAAGAGGAGATACTTTCTTTCACATTCTCATTGTTTTTATCAACTCTCAAGTTTGGCATCTTGACAGCCAAATAGATGACAGATCTGGCAGGCCTTGAGTGGTGACAAAACTCTGCTGAGCTCAGCTCTATTCCTTGCTGGCAGCAAGATGACTCTGAGTGAGGGACTCTTAGCTGAGTTAGTCTCAACTGCAGAGAGGGAAAGAGCAAAAGGGAAGAACAACAAACAGGAAGCACCTGGACTCTCTTGTTGAAGATTTGAATGTTTCATATGATTGACAGCTTGATAAGTGATTGATTCAGCAGAGGGAGGACTTTGGAGATGGTCAGATCTGGGTTTAGTGTGTACTTCAGGACTTGCTAGTTGTGTGACTTTGGATCTCATTCACCAACTTTTTTAGTTTGCCCAAGATTTTAGAGGGTTTGGTGCTAAAACTAGAATCATGCTAGGCAAGATGGGACAGTTGGTTAACCCCGACAGACCACATACTCCCTGTAAGCCTCAGTGTGTAAGTATGAAGTCTGGCTGTCTATTTACTGCTTGCTTGCATTAACTTGGGCCTGCTCTCAGAGCTTCTTCCTACTTGGAACGTAAGGGCTGGAGCACCACTGAATTCTGTCTGGAAGGAAGCAGCTCAGGGTTGGCCACATGCTATTTTGTCTGATGAAGCTAAACTTCTGAAGTGAAAAGCAACTTTTTCCACCCCTTGGTACTAGGGATTGAACCCAGAGGTGTTTAACCAGCCCCCAGTCCCCTTTTTACCTTTCAAAACAGGATCTCACTAAGTTGCTTAGGCCTCACTAAGTTGCTGAAGCTGGCTTTGAACTTGAGATCATTTGCCTCAGCCTTCTGAGCTGCTGGGATGGATTATAGGTAGACACCACAAAGTAACTTTTCAACAGTATTCTGTTTGGAGACCATGGATTTTGCTCATATTGTGATTTGAACCACAAATCATGAATCTCTCCCTTTGAATCTGTCTCCTACAGTGCTTGACTTTTGCTTTTGTCACCAAGTGAACTTGGTAAGGCTCAAGTACATAAAGCTCAGTAAGGAGTGTGAGATGGAGGTTGGTTATGCATGGATAGAGGTGGCTTGAAAGCTAAGATAGGACTCTGGTTACAGTAACATTGCACAAAAAGAGGTGTTTTGGTTTCAGCCAAGATGGTGGCGTAAGTGTGACAGGCAGAGAGCCAGACAAGTCTCACGGAAGGCTTGTTCTCCACTCCCCCACCCTATGCCTGCTGTCAATTCTCATCTCACATGAGACTGGTGGCCTCCACATTATGTCTAGTAATAATCATCAGGTTTCTGGTGTTTTCTTAAAAAGATGTGGAGGAGGATGGGTGGAAGCTATCATTGCTGTAGAAGGGTGCATTCTGAGTAGAAAGGAAGAAGTGGGTAAACTTAGCTATTGTAAATTTGGCCACCCACAGTTCCTCAAAAGTTAAAAATAGAGTTGCCATGTATGTGACTCACAAATTCTACTCTTAGGTATATGCCCGAGACAAATTGAAAACATATGTCCACACAAACACTAGCACATAAATTTTCATAACAGTATGACGCATGATGGTCAAAAAGCAGAAACAACTCCCATGTCAATCAAAGGATTAACGGATAAACAAAATGCAGTGTACCATATACTAGAATACTACGCAACTATAAAAAGAAATGAAAATGTGGAAAGAAGGAATGAAGCACTAGTATACACTACAGCATAAATGAACCTTTAAAACCTTATGTTTGGGCTGGGGTTGTGACTCAGTGGTAGAGTGCTTTCCTGGTGCTGAGAATCAAACCCAGTGCCTTCCACATGCTAGGCAAACACTCTACCACTGAGCCACAACCCCAGCCCGAGTTGTAAAAGCCCAAATTCACTTTTGAAGGGTGAATTTTATGGTGAGTTATTGCCCAAGAGAATCAATAACAAAAATTTTGACCACCCCAGTCCTGCTGCATATAGAAGGCCCAGCAGTGGCATAATGTATGTCTTCAGGATCCGCTTGATATCTGCTTGGCATCGGAATGAACAGAATTCAGATGAACCAGTCCTTGAGAGCCAGGTTACGTAGGTTTCCCAGTTGGATCTCAGGTGACTATTGTCCATGAAGAGAGTAAAACTTCCTGAGAAATGGAGGCAGTGATGACCAGGTAGGTTGTTGATATGGTTTGGATCTGAAATGTCCTCCAAAAGCTTCTGTGGTGAAAGCATCGTCCCCTGTGCAGCAAGATTCAGAGGTGGGGGATGAGGGCTCTGACTTCACTGGCGGATTAATCCATTGATCTCTGAATGGACTACTGAGGGGCGGGGGACTCATTGGGAGAAATAGGTCACTGAGGATGCACCCCAGCCTCTTCTTACCCACTTCCTGGCTGCCATGAGCCGAGCAGCTTTCTTCTGCCCTTCTGCCATAATGCCTCTCTGCCGTGGAGTCAGACTGAATCCTCGAAACCACGAAACAAAATAAATCTTTCCTCCTGTAGGTTGTTCTTACCAGATGTTTTGGTCACAGTGATGAAAAGCTGACTAACAGAGTTGTAAAGGGTATGAAACATGAAGTTTTCTTGAGAGCATCTGTCTCCACCAAAATCAGGCTAAGAGCCTGAGTATGGTCAGGCCCATTGTGCATAGGAGTCTGGGAAGGATGCCGTAGTCCCTTGGGCCTTCTTTCTCCTGGGAACACCTCATGGACAGCTCTGCAGCAGAGGGTTAGCTAGATGCTGGCCACTGAAAGTGTTAATCTGCAGCAGCCCTCAGTGACTCTCCAAGTGGGACAGTGGCAGAGAGTGTGGCCATGTGAGTAGGTGTGCCTACACATACTCAGCTCAATTGATTGATTCTTTCTTGGGGGACAGGTCTCGGGTCCTATTGTCTCCTGATAGGGTTCATGAGCTTCAGTTTTCAGCTTACACCTATCTGCAGAGGACTATGAAGGTGTGGGGTGGCCAGACTGGGAAGGCAGGATCCAAGCCAAAGCAAGGGAGGTTACTAGGGTCAGTCAGCCAGCCCTGCAGGCTGAATGCAAGCCAAACCTTAGGGGGTCCCAATCCCCCAAATCTCTGTTCCTCTGAAGACTACATCACTGGACCTGTGATCATCTGGACCTTCTGATTAGAGAGGACAGAGACCAGAATTGTGATCCCCAAGTTTGCAAAACACCTGTTCCCCCAGAGAGGCTGCTCTGTTGGAAGAGCCTGCTTCCTCCCTTCCTCTATCTGCTGAAGTCAGATAGATTTGTCAAGGAAGCTTTCCTAAAACTTCTACATACACCAAAGTGGCAAATAATTAAGATATGCTGAGACAAGTAGGGGCCTGGGCTGTAGTTGTTTCTAGGGCTCAATACACTAGATTATGATTGCTTGGTTCCTTGTTTGTCTCCCCCAATCAAACTCCACAGAACCATCTCTGACTGTTCACTGTTTACTGTTGAATCCTAGTGCCTAGCATGGGGGGCACCAGGGATTGAACCCAGGGGTGATTTACCCCTGAGCTACATCCCCAACTCTTTTTATTTTTTGAGATAGAGTCTCACTAAGTTGCTTAAGGCCTTGCTAAGTTGTTGAGGCTGACCTTGAACTTGTAGGCCTTCTCCTGAGTTGCTGGGATTACAGGCCTGTGCCCCTGTACCCACCTTAGATTTATAATTTGATTTGTAAGTAAAATGTTTTCAACTCAATGTAGGATTGACCAGGGTATGCTTTTCCCCAGCAAGTAAGGCATCCTTAAGGCAAGGATCTACATCTGAAAGTAGCCAGACTTCTTTCCAGAGCATAACCACTGTTACCCCCAATTGTAGCTCCATTCAGTTGGAATCATCAGGGATTCTGATACCCCAGGCACACACAAGCACAAGCATGTGCACACACAGAGATGGGAGCACACTCATCTGCACACATGCTCCAACCCATGTTGGCTCCTCTTCCTGAAAATTAGGTATCAAGCTTCACTTCCAGGGGCTGAGGTTGGGGCTCAGTGGTAGAGTGCTTGCCTAGCATGCTTGAGGCCCTGGGTTCAATCCTCAGCACCACATAAGTGTAAAATGAAGATATTGTGTCCACTTAAAACTAAAAAATATATATTAAAAAAAAGCTTCACTTCCAGCATGATGTATCTGCTAGTGAACTTGGCATTGCTGCATTTTTTGGGAAAACCTGGCCAATTCATCCTGGGTGGTTCCTGATGATTTTTCTTGGAATCAAGCCCAGAGTGGAGTCATTCCTTAGGAGATCCTTGGTGAATAGTCAAACATCACTTATTCCTGGAAGGCTTCTCTGTCATAGCCTTTCTGCCCATCACAGAGAGAACTTTATATCTTCTTCATCTTTAGAGAAGTCATGGAAAAGTTCTAAAGGCAAAAGGCATGATGTTTTAGATGAGTCTTTTTTTTGGGGGGGGGGCTATTGGAGATTGAACCCAGGGCACTTTACCACTGAACAACATCCCCAGTTCCTTCTTATTTTGAGACAGCATCCTACTAAGTTACTGAGGTCCTCATTAAGTTGCTGAAACTGGCATCAGACTTACAATCCTCCTACCTTAGCCTCCTGAGTCTCTGAGATTATAGGTGTGTGCATCCACAGTTGACAGGATAGTGAGATTCTACCCAACCTCACTGCCTGATAGAACTTTCTGTAATGATGGAAACATTCTGTACCTATGCTGTCTCAGATGGTGGCCACTAGCTGCATGTACCTGTTAAACATTTGAGATGTAACCATTGAAGCTGGGCATGATGATACACAACTGTAATTCCAGTGATTTAGGAGGCTGAGACAAGAGGATAACAAGTCTGAGACCAGATTCAGCAACTAAGTGAAACCGTTTCAGAATAAAAATAAAAAGGACTGGAGATATAAAGTGGTAAAGTGCCCTTGGTTCAATACCCAGTATACCCAGTACAAAAAACACACATATGTGTGTGATGAGACCAGGAAACTCAATTTTTATTTTACTTTAATAAATTTTAATTTAAAGAACCACATGTGTCTGATGGCCCCTGTATTAGACTGAGCAGATCTAGTGGACCTTAATTATGGAGAGGGCATTTTTGAATCTTCTACAAAATTTCTGAACCAACTCCACTGTTGTTGCTGTTATATTTCTCCCCAGCCTACCCAATTCATACCCTAAAGTGGTGTAAGAATCTAGCAAGACAGGGTGGTGGGACATTGGAATTAAGTGTGAACCCTTGAGAAGATCTCACATGTGATAGAGGACTACTGCCCTTAACCCACCTGGTGAGAACCCTTGAAGTCAAGTGCGCCAGTTATCTATTTCTATGTCATAAACCACCCCAAAACATAATTCCCTAAGATAGCAATATTTCTTTTCCTCAGTCTGTGTTTTGGGCAGGGCTCCAGGCAGGTAGCTCATCTCTGCTTTGCTTGATATCAGCTGAGGTGGCTCAAATCCTGGGGCTAGAGTCATCTGAAGACTTGCCCATTTACATGTTTGGTAGTGGATGTTGGCTATTGATTGGGACCCTAGCTGAGACTTTAGCCAAGGCACCTACATGTGTCTTGGGCTTCCTCACAACATGGTGGCTGAGTTCCAAGGGTGAGTGGAGTGGGAGTACCAGGTGGCAGCTCTATCCTTTTTTTAAAAATTTTAATTAGTCTCAGAAGTCATGCCGTGTCACTTCTGCTGCATCCTGTCCATTAGATATCAGCATGAAGACTCCCTGCTTCCTTGTTGCCATATCCTGAGCTGATTTTCTCCTTCACAACTTCCATCATGATCTGCCTCACTTCCAGCCCAGAGCAATGAAGTCAGCCAACAATGGACTAAGAGCTGCAAATAAAAATTTCCTCATCTGAAAGAGAGAGAGAGAGAGAAGAAAAGAAAAGAAATCAGCCACTAAGGTCAGCCCATATTCAAGAAGAGAGAACTTAAAAACTCAACTTTTTTTTTAATTGAGATGGGATCTGGCCCCAAACTCCTAATCTTAAAAGATCCTCCTGCCTCAGCCTCCTGAGCAGCTGGGACTATAGGTGTGTACCACCATGTCCAACTTCAGCCTTTGTTGATAGGAGTGTTAAAGAATTTGTTGTGGTGCACATCAGTAATTCCAGTAATTCAAGATGCCAAGGCATGAGGAACTCAAGTTAGAGGCAGCCAGGGCAACTTGGCAAGAACTTGTCTCAAAATAAAAAATAAAAAGGGCTGGAGATGGAGCTCAGTGGTACCACCTCTGGGTTCAATCCCTGGTACTGGGAGCATGAGGGGGGGGGGCGGAAACAGGGAGAAAGAATTTGCAGACCACAGTTTAAAACCTCCACATAGACCTGGGAGTGAAGAGCACCAAGCACAGAACTCTAAGGAGCTTCACTGTTTGGGGGGACAATGAGCCTCTTCCTACTTAAACCTTCAGTAACTCAGTAAATAGCAAGCACACGGAAAATCACAAACCAGCTCCCCAGTCAATTAAGAAATTTTTCTGTGCTCCTTCCTGAACACCTGGCCCCAGGAGCAGCCACTTGTCCAGAAGTACCTGCAAGTGCCTATTTTCTAGGCCTCTGATGCAGAGACTTCTCTATTGCACATACTCCTTGAGTAACATCCTGATTCCTTTTTTCAGAAATTCTTGCATAGTAGAGTGGGAGGAGCCTGTGGCCAGGACACCTGGATTCTGATTCTCCATCCTGCACAAACCTATAAAAAAGGAAAGGTTATTGCAAGAGAGTAGACTGTGGAGAATGATTTCCTTCTTCACAGTTTAATTTTCTATAATATTAGTTTAGATAGGCACTGTGGCATAAGTCTAAAATCCCAGCGACTCAATAGGCCAAGGCAGGAGGATTTCGAGTTTGAGTCCAGCCTCAGCAATTTAATGAGGCCCTAAGAAAAATTAGCAAGATCCTGTCTCTAAATAAATAAATAAATAAGTGAGCTGGGGATGTAGCTCAGTGGTAAAGTCCCCCAGGGTTCAATCCCTAAATAAATAAATTATATATATATATATATATATATATATATATATATATATATTCATTTAAAATATAAGTTTAAACATATTGTGGTAAAGTAAATATAGCATAAAACTTACCACTTTTTCAAATTTTTTTGCAGTGCTGGGGATGAAACCCATGGCCTTGCACATGCTAGGCAAGCCTCTATCACTGAGCCAAACCCCCAGCCCCATTTTAACCCTAAGTGTACAGTTTAGAGGAATTAAGTACATTGACAGTGCAGTACAACTATCACCATTATCCATCACCAGAAATTTTTCATCTTATTAAAAAATACTTTATTTATTTATTTTTTATATGGTGCTGAGGATCAAACCCAGTGCCTCACAAGTGCTAGGCAAGTGCTCCACCACTGTGCTACAACCACAGTCCCTCTTTCATCTTTTCATACTGAAGTCTGTACCTTAAACACTAACTCCCCACTAACTCCCACAAGCATCCTAATTTCTGTCTGATTTTTGACCATTCTAGGCAAAATGGAATTCTACGGTGTATGTCCTTTTGTAACCAGTTTATTTTACTTAGCACAACATGTTCAAGTTCATCTGGGTTGTAGCATATGTTAGAATTCTTTTAAAAGCTGAATAATATTCCATTGTATATACAGACCATTCAACAGCCTATGAACATTTGGGGTGGCTTCCCCTTTAAGGCTATTGTGAATGATGCTGTGGGTGTGAGTACAGAAATAACTGTTCACGTCTCTGCTCTCAGTTCTTTGGGGTACATATATAGAGGTGAATAAAATAATTCGGTTTTTCATTTTTTGATAAATCAGTTAAAATTTCTTAAGCTTTGTTTGTGGGGAGGCAAAGTGTGTGGGGGGGTGAAACCAGAGGTGCTTTACCACTGAGCCATATCCTAGTCCTTTTTAAAAATTATTTTCTATATTGATACGGGGTATTAGTAAGTTGCTGAGGGTCTTGCCAAGTTGCTGAGCTGGCCTCAAATTTATGATCCTCCTGCCTCCATCTCCCTAGTCACTAGGCTTACAGGTATGCTAAATTGTTTTTTTTTTTTTTTAACAACAAAAAATAAGAATCAAAACAGCCTCCAGGCACAGTGGTGCCTGCCTGTAATCCCAGTGACCCGAGAAAGTTGAGACAGGACGATCACAAGTTCAAGGCTAGCCTCAGCCAATTAGCAAGACCCTGTCTCAAAATGAAAAATAAAATAGGTTGGTGTGTAGCTCAGTGGTAAAGCATCTCTGGGTTCAATCCCTAATAAGGAAAAAAAAAAAGAATCAAAATAGTCAGTTTGATAGTAGCAGAAAAAATCCTGCCATGTCTAATCATCCTGATTTTTAATGTTTACTTATCTAAAGTCTTGTCTCCCCCACCCCAAGGGTCAAATCCAAGGCCTCATGCACTCTGCCACTGAGCTACTTCCCTAGCCCTTGACTTTTTTGATTTGTTGTTATTAGAAAGATTAATTAAAAGAAAGCACACTTAATTTTTATGTTTTATTTATTTGCTTATTTAGATTAAAATATAAACATAAAACTTAACCGTCTTAACTATGTCAAGTGTACAGGTCAGTGGTGTTAAGTCCAGGTTTTATTTTAAGGCTGGTAATCTCATCAAAGTCTAATCCCACCAGATTTCTGCAAGTGTCCTGAGGCTTAGAGTCCTGGGATCCTCCACTTCCACGCACTCCCCCCACCTCAGTGCCCTGTTCTCTTCCTGTCCCCTTCCTCAAAGCCACCAACAGAACTGTCTTGAATCAGGCTGCCCTTGCACCGTCTTTGTAAGGACACTAACACATCAACTGTTCTTGTAGCCTTTCACATTAATTGGTTGTGACTTTGCAAAACAAAATATGGGTGCCTAATGAGCCGTGTTGTGTTGAAGGAGCTTGTCAGACCAGGTATTTATAACTATGCTCCCCCTCCAGCTCACCAGCCCTACCACCCCCACCCCACACACCCACACAAAAGCAGGTGGCTTGTGTGACTTTGGGTATGTCACCTCCCTTTTTTAGGCCTTTTGTCATTTGTTGATGAGTGAGTCAGAAATCTCTGGAAGATTCCTGGACTCCAGACCCCCATTATACTCCATCACACTGTGCTGCAGTCTGCTCTGACCATTAGCACCAGGAGAAAGGAGCAGAGAGATGGCAGAAGGCTGGGGCCCGAGATGCAGGCCTAAGCCTATTTTTATGCTCTCAATCTTTCCCCTGACACTGTTACTACTCAAGCTCCACCTCACAGATATTTTCCAACTAAAATTGAAGTTAAATGGTCTGAAAACAAGGAGAGTTGTGTTAATTAAAAGTGGGAAGGCAGATGGGTCAGGCAGGCATGAGGGGTGTAGGGGGGGCCAGATGGCAGGAGCAGTTTTGTAGAGGCCAGTGGGCAGAACAGGGATGGGGCAGCCTCCCAGGGACCAACAGAGGATACACCATGGTGCTCTGGGAGTAGAATGGCCAGAATCTCCACATCCTATTTCCTGGCCTCTGTGTGAACGTTCTGGAGGCTGGGGGCTGGCTTGGAGGTGACACTGAGTTCAACAGAGCCACTGCCCACTCCCGCCCCACCTTACCAGGAAACGCCTTCTTGCCGCAGTGACCACATCCCCTCAGGTTGCCTTGGCAACACTCCATGGGGGCTGGAGGAGTTGGGTCACAGTTGCCCAGCAACAGGTGGTGGCCTCCCTTCCGCCCTTCTGTGAGGCCAGCCCTCTCTGTGCCTTCAGGCCTTTCAACAACCGCTGGGCACCAACCAAAGGCATGCGAAAGGCAGAGCGGCTCTGAAGAGAGGAAGAGAAGCCCAGGGCTGACCGAGGAGGTGAGATGAGAGGTGCAGGAGGCCCCCGCAGAGGGAGGACCTGGGGTCGAGAGAAAAGCAGGCAGAGACAAACAAGGGAGGTAGGGACAGGCCCGAGATAGCACAGCTGGAGAGGCTGGGACAGGTGCAGAGGTGGCACCAGAGACCTGGCACAGCAGCAAATATGGTGGAGCCCTGAGATGAGACCACCTCCAAGGAGAGAGGTGACTCAGTAAAGGAGCACCGAGGTGGCCTCAGCAGCGACAGCCAGAGAGGGGGTGCCCACGCAGAGGACGGGGCCAGGAGAGAGGGAGGTTCTCTCATTTCCTCTCCTACTACTTCCTCTCTAGGCCAGAGGACCCGGGGGGCCTAGGAAAGAAGCCCTTGTGGCCCTGAGGCTTTTGTCTGGGAGGAAATGGGGCTTCCAGAAGGGGACTAGAGGGCCTGCAGGAGGAGGTCCGCCTGTCCTCTGGCCCCGCCTGGCTTGTTCTTGTCCCCTTTGGGTTCCCTTTGTCCCTCTGTCTGCGAGCTGGATCCCGAGTCCCCTTTGCCTTGTCCCTTGTTGTTTCCTGGACACTGTGCCCCTGTCCACGTCTTGGTTGTGCTGACGCGGCCTTACTTGCTCCCTCTTCTCACCTCTGGGTCTCCAGATGCCTGCAACTCGTGGGCAGCCATCTGAGCACATGGAGGCACCCAGTGCGTCTGAGACAGCCTTGTGGCCTCCGCTGCCCTGTGGCCCCTGCATCCCCATCATGCTGGCCCTGGCCTCCCTCGCCGCCTTCTTCATCCTGACCACAGCCGTGTTGGCCGAACGCCTGTTCCGCCGCTCTCTCCGCGCAGACCCTGGGACCCACCACGCACCCACCCTGGTCTGGCGCCCCGGAGGAGAGCTGTGGATCGAGCCCACAGGCACGGCCCGAGAGCGCTCTGAGGACTGGTATGGCGCAGCAGTCCCCCTGCTGTCGGGCAGGGCCCCAGACCCTCCCACCCCTGGGGGCACTTTGGAGGCCCAAGCAAGCGCCCCACTTGCCCCTTTAGCCCCACACTCTGCTCCCAGTTCCTTGGTCCTCCAGACCCCACCTGAGGTCCCAGCCCAAAGCACCTTCTGGGGGCCCCAGCCCCAGGAAGAGAGGCCCCATGCCACAGGCCTGGTGAGTTGGGCTGAGCCTGAGCTGAGGTCAGAGGTCAGCATGCAGTTGGGGAGTCCTAAGGCCTGGAGGCAGAGGCCAGGGAGCCCTGAGCCTGACTGGGGACTCCAGCCTCGGGTCACCCTGGAGCAGATTTCAGCATTCTGGAGGCGGGAAGGCCGGACCAGTGTGGGGTTCTGAATCCCCAGAGCCTGTGCGACTGGCCTCCCAGAGACCCCTACAAAAGGCCCCATATCCAAGGGACCATGAGATCCCAGGCTTCAGCCTCAGGGCTGGTCCTGAGGCTGCCCCAGAGAAGATTTTCTCTCAGGCCTTCTGTCTGTATTTCAATTCTCCTGAGCCTGGACGGTGGGCAGCCTGAGTGTGGACAGAGTCTGTGCTCCAGGGAACCCATAGGTGCCTCTGCTTAATACTCTGAGCTGTGGCTCAGGGAACCGGAAGTGCTGCTGACAGAAAGCTCCAAGACTGATTTCCAGAGTAAGAACTCAAGGTAACAGACAGGAAATAGTGTCAACCCAGCCACTTCCACCTTCTAACAGTGTGTGCCTAAGATGCCCTATGAAAGCAAAGGGGTCCCATGGATGGTGACTTGTGGCCTGGATGTGAGATGTCAAGAGAAAGAGACAGTTGTGTTGGCAACAGATGACAGGAATCCAGCCTCCTGGAGCCACAAATCTTATCCCTCCCGAGCCATTCTATCCCTAACTGCTGTGAGGTCCTCAGGAAAACGCAGAAGACGAGATCAAGCAAAGCAGCCTTTTATTACATATGAACTATGACTCTGACTCTCAAATGGCAAAGGAACTTGCTGAGCCAAGCTGAAGGGCCCTTCTCTTGCCTGGAGTTGGGACTTAAAGTCAAAGAACAGGCTCCTCTGCCCATCTGCCTATGGCTGACTCATCTCAGCCCTCTGATCTTACTCCAGGGTGAGGAAATACTGGGCCAAGAAGAACACAATCTGGTCAGACTTGGAAAGGAGACTTTCCAAAATGCAGTCTCTGGCCATCGTCCCTCTCAGCTTTCTGCGTAGTCCACAGAGACAGGCTTACATATGACTGACCCATAGAAATGGTACCCCAAATGCCTGTGGGTCTACTAACTGACCCCCCTACTAGGAGAGGAGCTATGGGTGGCAAGTTTCTATTCCCTGGTTTTTCAATTTCTCAAATTTCTGTAAGGATTATTAGGATTTTTGCTACATTCGCTTATCAACCTGCACTGTCATTGGCTTTACATTTTTCTTTAAGTTGGCTCTTAATAAATTTACTTTTAAAGGAATCTCTTTTTGTATCACTTCTATAAATGGAAAACCAGTATCACTTGCCATAAATAGAAGGTCAAATGTGAAAATAAATACAATGTAAATGAAGTTATTCAGTTTCAAGTAGACATTGTTTCCAATTAAAGGCTTTGACCCCAAACTCTGCTCTTTGTTAAAAAAAAAAAAAAAAAAAAAGCATACTAATGGATCAGCAAGTGGGAAAAGTGTCAGATTCTAGCACCAAACAGATCTTCTCCTGGAGTGCTGAGGTGGATGGAGTTGACAGTGATACTATGTTGTTATTTATTTATGGTGGTACTGGGAATGTGCTGGGCACTGAACTACATCCTCATCCCTTTTTATTTTTAATTTTGACACAAAGTATTGCCAAGTTACTGTGGCTGGCCTCAAACTTGTGATCCTCCTGCCTCAGCCTCCCAAGTAACTGGGATCACAGGCAGGCTCAGCCATGCAGGGAAACCTGTATTGTGGCTAGGAGCCTCTCAAGTGCAGCCATGCCCAGGGAACCACTCTGTACTTCCTGCTCAGGCTGCTGAGGAGCACTTGGAGACTCCCCTCTAGTCCCTCGCATGCTAGAAGTTGAAGGAGCAGTCAAGCAACAAGTAGCCCCCAGGTAGAGGGACCAAGAACCCTGCGAAGCCTCTGTCCCCAGGTGCATCTTGAACACCTTCTTCTGAGCCAGGTGTTGGAGGAATCAGACCTGCCCCTTCCCTCAAGGAACTCACAGTATCAGGTTGGGGGATGAAGGCAGGGGTGAGATGGGACACAGACTTGAAACTGATGCAAGGTAGAAATCAGGTCAAAACTGACACAAGGGCCAGGAGTGGTGGTGCACACCTGTAATCCCAGCAACTCAGGAGGCTGAGGTAGGAGGATCACAAGTTCAAAGCCAGCCTCAGCAACTTATGATACGCTGTCACAAAATTTAGAAAATAAAATAAAAAGGGTTGAGGATGTAGCCCAATGGTTAAGTGTCCCTGGGTTAAAAGAAAAGTAAAGAAAGAAAGAGAAAGAGAAAAAGAAAAAGAAAAAGAAGGAAGGAAGGAAGGAAGGGAGGGAGGGAGGGAGGGAGGGGCTGGGGTTGTGGCTCAGCGGTAGAGCGCTTGCCTCACACATGTGAGACCCTGGCTTCTATCCTCAGCACCACATAAAAAAACAAATAAGTGAAATAAAGGTATTGTGTCCAACTACAACTAAAAAAATAAAATATTTTTTAAAAAAGAAAGAAAGAAAGAGAAAGAAAAGGAAAAACTGATACAAGATGGAAATCTTGTCACTCATGAGCTGGGTAACTATATCAGTTGTCATGGTCATGGTCATCAGCTGACAAGATGGTTTGTGGGGACTCTGCTCGGGAAGAGTAAACAGTCTACCAAGGGAAAAACTAAGAGAGACACTGGGGTTCAGAACTTAGGAGTTCCCCTGCCAGTGCTCAGGAGAGACAGCATGCGCTAGACAGGAAACCAGGGTAAGGAGTCTGGCTTTCAGTTTGACTTTATTTCCCATCACTTTAGAGAGTTAAGAAAAGTGTTTTTTGTTTTTTGTGTTTTTTTTTTTTTTAAGGCCTCATGTTCTTTCTCTGTACAACAAGAGACAGGCAATAAAACAAGATGTTCTATTGCAAATTTTTTTAGCTGTGACACTGGAGGATGCTATAAAATGAAAGGTGGCTGAGCCAATGGATGGGTGGATGGAGGGAGAATGGATAACTGCGTGAGTGGAGTTGTGGCTGGTGGATAGATGAACACGTGGACAGGTACACACGATCTTCCTGAGG